CGTCACTGAGCCGCTGCTGTTCTCTCATGTCCCCATTATGACACAATAAAGGACATTTCTGTTCCGTTTCCTGGCTGTAAGCAGATCCATCTCATCATCTGTTAAATAACAGACCAAAATAATAAAACCTTATTTTGTGCTAAACTATTATGTGTTCCTATAAAGCATAACTAAACTGATCTAAAGTTCAAACCAGAAAAACATCCAGAACTGAGAGACTAAAACTTCCAGCAACAAAAATTAAATATACCAGATTAAATATACCAGATAAGTTCAAATTCATTTAAGACTCAAGTCAAATTTCAGATAACTGATTAAAATGATCAGCTTCTGTTTTTATTATGAGCTCATATTACAGATCAATCAACTCTTTCAGATCCATTAACTGCAAAAATCAGGCAATAAAATCTAAAAAACCTCCAACATTACTGAATTATTTTTTTCTACTTTTAGTATTACAACTAAAGTAATTGTTGCCATAAATTCAGACTAACTTTTAGAAATAGTTTTTGTTCACCAAGACAATTAACTGGAGTATTAATTCACAACACTGAAATGTGAACCTGATTAAATTAATCTGATACTTTTTCCCTTTACAAACTATAAATTTAGAGCCAACAGAAGATCAGAAGAATGTGATCCTGGTTCTGGTCGGATCCTGGTTACCTGATAGTCTGTCCTCTTGATGGCGGGAACATCCATGTTGTGGGTGGAGGGGCACATATCTTCATACTTCTTGTTGGTGAAGATGTCGATACCAACCAGGTTAACCTGCAGAAACACCACAAACCAACAAAGATGTGAAAACTGGCAGCAACAGCAGCTTCCAAAAACCGACCAGAGGAGAAATGGAAGATCTGACATTTAAATGATAAACCTGAAGAAAATGTAAAACCAAGTGAAATAAATAAATCATTGTCACAATCTCCATGATAGCCATGATACCCACCCATAGCCTTTCAATAATTAGAACAGCTCAGACGCGTACCTTAGCATGTCCGTGCTTGCCGGTCTTGGAGGTGGACATCTCCACGATTTTGCAGGGACGTCCCTTCAGCACCACGTACCCGTTCTTACGCAGGGCGGAGCACTGCATGGGGTAGGTGGCGGAGGCGCCAGACTCACCAGTCGTGAAGTCAAGATCGGGATCTGCCATGGTGCGATGGGTCTGGGGCGCTGGAGGACAGAGACATCATCAACACCTGCCAGGTAAACACTGGACAGCTAAATAATGACCAGGTAACTCAGGATGAGTGAAGGTTTAATAAACGAAGCAGCAGAAACGATTTAGATACGGATCGATGCAAACGAACAACAAACGTATTGAAGTCAGAAATGGCTCAATTACAGAAATTATTTCCCAAATAATTTCTAGCAAAGCAATAAATCTGTTCAGAACGACCAAACATCGACGACCAGACGTCTTCGACAAATGTTCCCTTAAAGTTTGAACCGTAAATGCAAATATCGTATCTTTAAACAAATTAAAGTTCATGTATAGATAATCTTGTCTGATTGTACAAGGAGTAAATCTATTCTTACATTTATTACCTTGTTTTTATCACCTTTAAATCAAATGATGGATATTTGAAGAGTTTCGGCTGATGTGGGTTTTATCAACACTTAATATTCATAAACTCTGCAGGGTTCACAAACCTTCCACATCTGTTTCAAATTCATTTTCACAAGCAGATTAAAGCACATTTTTCATTCTGTAATGTCTCCTCCACTTTACTGGAGGTTAAAACCTTCATTTATTAAAGCTGAAATGAAACAAAATAAAAATATTGGCAATTCACCTGAAATATTAGACAACTAAATACTGCACTTAAATGAATTCATGATCACAACCTATATCAAATACCTATGTGATGTATAACGCAGTTTGATTTTTGTTTATGCAAATATATCTGAATATACATTTAAATGTCTTCAGGTATTTAAGTGGGTTCAACTTTTATCTAATATCAGCAATAATTCAGGTTCTGATGCTTTTTCTACCAAATCAGTTATAAAACCAACTCAGAAATGATTAGTTTATTAAAGTTTGTATCCCAGCATCTTCATTCTTGTGCTTTTCTTTTAATTGGCATAGAGACAGTTTGAGTAGAGTGGGTTCAGACTGCAAGGAGCAGCAATAAATAGACAACGCCTAAATGAATTAGCTGGGAATCCATTCAAACTCAACCTGATTTACGTCACCATTTACAAACCCTAAATATATATGCCAACTTTCTAAAACTATAAACTATGGTCACTGTCTCGTTTAGCAATTATGTAATTACGCATTCCTACATTTTAAAGTCACTATAAAGAGTTTGCTTTAAAGGAGCTTTAGTTGCTGCCTTTGCAACGTTTTTGGGCCTTTTTAAGGAATCCAATTGATCAGTTCAGAAATGCAGATGTGTCTTTAGGACTAAACGTTTAATATTCGACTTGTTTTTCCAGTCAGGCTGAAGTAGGTCTGAATAAACAGACAAATCCGCAGCGTCCATGAAACGTGGAAGCTCGGACAGGCTAACCGGCTAAACACGAGGCTCAACTGCTGTGTCATCCAGCGCTGCTTCAAACGGCTCTGGATCCGCTACAGCGGCGCAAATCTGCTTTTCAGAGTGAAAAATGGAGGAATAAATTTGAGACAAATTAGGAATAAGTCTCTGCAGGGGATTAACGGGGTAATTTAAGAAAGTAGCACACGCTAGCTTGGCCTTCTGGTAACAACACCGACATACCGTTACTTAATAACGATGGGGATTGGGCTAAAATACGATGCATTTAGTGACGCTTCCGTTAGTTATGTCCCGTCATTGAATAAAAAAACGTTTAATACCCAATAAAACAAACTCTCTGTAACTCGTTACAGTGGCTGTTATTTAAATAAGTGAGCTAACGCAAAGCTAACAGCTGCTACCAATGCTAACCGCAGTGAGCAGCAAAATAAAGTCTCCAAATCACTTCAAGTTCGACGGCAGCTCGGGGTTCATCGTTTACTATGGCCTCCACGAACAACACCTGGCCGGTAAAAAACAGCGTGGAAGGTTGGAAAACACGGCCGACATGACACCGAGCGCCTCGCCACTGAAGGCCGCATGTCCCTTTGATTGAGCCCCGGACACCCACACCCTGCCCCGCCGCCCGACCGGAATCCACCGGCAAGACAAAGCAGCGACTCCGAAGGCTTCGCTTACCGGGATGAAACTACTTTCCTGCCTTTAAATCCACTCTGAGATGAGCTAAAAACGGATAAAGTTTTTCGTTTATTCCCTGAAGGAAGAAACACGCGCCATGCCGCACTTACCTTCCGAGCAAAAAGAGGACCGAGAGTGCGCATGCGCGGCCAACTTGACTGCAGCATCCGCGGAGGAAGCGGGGAGGAGGGGGGCGTTTATGTGTTTGGGCAGGCAGAAAGGGTTGCCAGGTAGGTTCGATGCGATCCTGACTCAGGCAGGGAGAAAGACATAGTCTGTATGAGGGGAACTGGCAACCCGTCAGCTCACCGCTATACTGTGGTTCCGGAGGATCCAACAGGCGCGGATGAAAACATCCAACTACCCGAAAGAGCGTCTAAAATGAACTTAAATCAGAACACGCGTCGGCACATGCAGAACGGACATGAACTTTAATTTAGTCAGTAAAAACAATAAGCTTGGACTTTTTAAAAATTAACATAACGTAAATACTTGTGAAGTGGAAGGAAAAACATAAACGGTCGTTTTAAAGTTTACATAATTGTTTTGCACAAAATCATCAGTGGCAGAATTATTGGAATTATAGGAACCCTTAACAATGAATATGCAACAAATGTAGAAAACATATTTTGGTACTTAAGATTATTTTTGGATGTATTTAGAGTTGATTTACGTCACGTTCCTCAGTGGCAGAAACATGATGTCACTGGTGGTGCGTTCCATTTGTGGTTCAAACTCGGAAATTCCAATTTCCCGGTTAGAAATGTTCTAATCCTACTCAGATCAACTCAGCCCTCCATCTCTGCAGCAGCAGAAACAGAAACATTATACCTGTTGGGGAAAATATATTACATTTGCTTTGCTTTTCCCCACATAATGGCAATAATATGCTATGTTCCAATTAAATTCTTGATTAATATGGGTTGTTGCTATGTTGTTGTACAGTGTTTTAAGATCTTGTTCAATGTGACCATATTGCAAATGACAGAAACATTTTTTTTCAAAGTGGCTTTTATTTCAATAATCCCTTCTGTATGTTGAACAACAGAGAGTTAAGGTTTGACTGCAAGAATTTCGGTTTAATTCTTAGAATAAAACAATAATATCAGCAGAATAAAGATGTGATTTTACCAGGTAAATGAGGGGAAAAAAGGTGGATGATTATTTTTTTTTTTCATGTTGGAGTACTCATAAAATTACCGCTTCATTCTCCTAATATGGCGACTTTTTCTGCTAATGTTAAAGTCATATTCTTGTAAAAATAACTTTTTAGCCTGACTTTTATTGTGTTATAAGACTTAACCTGAATTCAAAGTCCAAATTAATAGAAGCTGAAAAACATGCTGGTCAAACAAGATGGCCGCTGACATCATCCTGAACTATGGAAACCAAAGGAGAGCATTTCCAAAAGTTAAATCTTTAAAAACCAAAAACTTGATTAGTCGATAAAAGAAAAAACTTGAACCGCTGAACTTCTCACAGCTAGCTAAGCAAGCTAAGCTAAGCAAGCTAAGCTAAGCTAGCTTGGTGGAATCAACTAACTCGCTGCTCGGTTGCCTAGCAACAAGCTGTTGAGTAACTTGGGCAGCAGCAGTTTCAGGTTTCAGCATCGTTCCTCACAACTGCTTTAAAATAAAAGCAGTGAGACTTAAAAACTGTGCATGAAAGAGGAAATGTCACCCCACCAGTCTGGAAGTCTTTCAGATACTTAAAACAAATCAATAATTATCAATAAGAAAGACTTTTTTGGCAGGTTGTTACTCTGACATCCATAAAGTGAAGTTTGTGTGAAGAAAGAGAAGCAGCTCTGGGTTTCTGCTGTACAAGGAGAGGACATTTATTGTAGATTTCCAAACATCACAGATGCGTGTTGCTGGACGGCGGTCGTCTTCTGACTGATCCCAGCGATTCAGGCGCGGTGAAAACATTCGCTCACATGCATGTCACACACCTGTGCACACACCTGCACACTCAGACACACAGCCGCACACGTTCACAGTCTTGATACAAAAAATTGAAATACAAATAATACCACAATAAAAACATTGTTTTTTTTTTTTTAGAAATTCTTACAGTATTCGCTATGTTCTCTATTCTGTAGAAAGACAACTAAGCTTCGATAAGTGAACATTATTTATGTCCTCTAAAATGATCAGTAAGATATTATCATCATGTAAATTATTACAGTATAAATATCTTTTAATCTATCGATTCTTTGCCTCCTGCTCTTTATTCACAGGCTGATGATCAACTCTAACATCCTGCACATTTAAGCGCCTGAAACTGCGTCTGTTCATCACATCCTTTAAGATCTCTGAACAACTAAAAGGAAATAAAGTAAAATATGAAACAGTTTTCTCTCATAATCTCAGCATTTACAGTCAAAATCTACGCACCTGCTTGGTTTTTACATAACTAAATTAATAATAAATGTCACCAAGATGTATAATTCTCCAGTGTACAATCTTTACTGTTATTCAACCAAAAAAACACAAAATGCTAACATTTTTCAGGTTTTTGTCCATCTGCTATTGTAAAACCAACAAGTGTTTTGTCTCAAACCTGAAATTCATAACAAGTGAAGACGGTTCAACATGTATGTCTTCATGCAAACTAAATAAACAGCCATGAATGAACGAAATTAAACTCATTTAGTTCCTGGAAATGTTCAGAAAAATGTCCCAGGTTATAATGACTTAAAGAGGGATGAAATAAAAACAAATCTCATAAAACCCTTTTTGTTTTTGTCAGCCTTTAAACAGCCGTGTGAGTATTTACAAAAGTGGAGAACAAGCAGAAAATAAAAAGTGGTTTTAACACAAGGCAGGAGAAATAACACCTTCCAGAAGTTTGCAACTATTCTACGGACGAGTTCTTCCAGTGAGAAAAGACGTGAAGATTTCTGTCATTGTGTTGCTGCTGCAGCAAAAGTACAATATCTACAAGCTTCCTCCTCCTGCCAGGAACCAAACAGCTGCAGACGGGTGACATCTCCATCCCTCGCTCTGACAGTGGTTGCTTGTTTGAAGGATTATGGGTATTTTCTGGGAGGAGGCAGACGTTCCAGCAGCATCACTCAAAGCGAGTGTTCACACTGTGAGCTAAGAGCATCTCAAAGGAGGGATGCTGGTGTTTCACCTTGTGTTTTACCTCCTTCTGATGCTTGTCAAGTTGTTTCTGTTGCATCATGAAGAAATAAAAAAGTAATCTGCTATATTTTGCTCAAACAGTCAAGAAAACCTCTAAAAGAAGCAGAAAGCTTGTTTGGGAGGATTATTTGTAACTAATTTTGTCTTTACGTGTTTTTATATATGTACACAAAACATATTAAAAATGAAGTTGATAAGAAAAATATGGCTCAATAATGCAACAAGGCAGTGCTTTAAACTACAAAGCTATTGGAAATCAGCTGTTCACTTTATTCAGGTCCCAACTTCTTTGGAAGTTAAAATTTTATTTTGGAAATAAACTTAATTTGCTTCAAGAGAGAAAACAACCAATAACAGGTGATAATATATCACTTCTCATGTAAAGTAATCAGAAACTGTCATGAAATGTTTGATAGTTTGTGATCTAATAAAGAGCAAATAGTTTATTCAAGCCGTCATACTGAGCTTTGATGCTGCAAAACACATCACACTCTTTATATTTTATGATTATTTATCTTAGTTATTAGTCTGAACTGAGTTCTAATTGTTTTTTGTTTTGAAGCAGGAAAGTCTGCGTTCTCTGGTTTTCTGAGTTTAGCTCGTTAAACTGCAGCGTTAAGCTGATGTGTTGGAAGATGTGCATTGAAGGGGCAACGTTGATCATTTCATCAGTGAACTGTCGTTATATTCACTGCATTTCACTGCAAAACACAAAAACCTACAAAGTTATTTTGTCTAGTTTTTAGTGTAAATATCTTAATAAACTTGAAATAAGACCAAACTAACTTCAGAGTGACTTTTTACAGTGCAATAGGAGCCAGTAATTCATTAATATTGATAAAAAGGTTCTAGTTTCATCGGTAAATTATTTCATTACAACATGGGGAATCGTCATGTTATAAGTGAAATCATCTAGAACTTTTTAAAGAATATTAAGGAAGTATATAAATTAAAAAGCTGATATTTCTTGCTGAAAACTGACTTGTAAGTTGGTTTTGTATTATCTCTTCACTAAGATATTTGCACTAGACTAGATTTTGTGTTTTTCCAGAGTTCAAATTGAAAATTTGCTGCAGGTTTTAAAAAATCGGTGATGGCTGAAACAGTGAAATGTTGCGACATTCTTTTTGTGTTACGGTCAAAGATTTCCTGTCGGTGTCCCTTTAAGATTGTCAGATTTGATGAGGAGGCGCCCAGAATCTGAATCGCTTCATATTCTGGTGCGTTTTGCTTGTTGCTTCTTAAAGTTGTGCATTTCTACTCCCAAAAGTGAAACAAAAAGGATTTTCACTCCCAGCAGGTTCAGTCTGAGCAATTCAGACAGAATCTAATAAAACAGAAATAATAAATCATCCTGGCTTTGTGAGATGAAAACAATCTTAAAATTGTGTGCATTTATGATCTGATCCTCAGGTTTTTTTGTCTAATGCTACTTTGCTAACTCACTAAACTAGAGCCTGCAGCAGGCAGGCCTGTGCACTCGCAGTGTGAACACCCTGGATCAAAGTCACTGATGTGCTACACAAAGAGCTTCTCCTGGTCAGGTCCTTAACGGCTCCAGATCCACTCTCGGTCCGGCCCAGCACTGGACTGGGCGCCGACCTTGTGGGGTCACCTTTGCTCTGCAGGCAGTCACAGCAACCACAGGACCTGCAGCGCCCCCTACAGCGTGAGGATGTCTAAGTAGAGACGCTCTGCTGCGGTTCAGCACCTCCTCCAGATGTGCAGTCCAGTGAGCGGCTTGGTGTCGTCGTCGTCCATGAGTACACACACACATATAAACACGCACAAACACCGTCCTCCATCGTCCCTCCGGCGAAGGGGCGTGGCTCCCAGCGGGGGGCGGGGCAGGTTACCAGTTCATCATGGAGCTTCTGTTCAGGGTCATGAAGAAAACCTGACTGCTGCCTCCAGAGCGGACCGAGGCGAAGAAAACCTGCAGAGAGCGAGGAAAACTTTAAAACCCGACAGCAGAAAGAAACCAAACATCATGAAACCGTCAGAGTTTCTGAACCTGGAAGAGTTTCTGAACCTGGAAGTTTCTGAACCTGGAAGTTTCTGAGCGTTTGATTGGTCAATGCGGCGAGAAAAGTTCTCAAGTTCAGTCATTTCACCATTTATAGGTGACCCATTATTATCATTATCATTATTTTCTGCTGTTATTCATAGTGAAATTTAAGTTCTAACAAAGTATGGCATAAGAACGGCAAAAAGTAGAAGATTGGAAAGAATCAACCTATTTTGAGTCAAATAAACTGATTTATTGATTTATAGATTTTTAAAAGTTTTGCTAAATGAGACCAAATGTGAGTCAGATCTGATCTGGTTTCAGACTCACTTTGTCGTTTCTCTCCGTCAAGAACTTGAGGCGCTGAGCTCGTTTGTGCATGAAAACGCCGTCGAGGTGTCCCGTCTCGACGGAGCGGATCTCGATGGCCTTCTCGCCCCAGCCCATGATCTGGTTGGAGTGGATGTAGGCTGCAGGAAGAGCAGGACCAAATATACGTAAACATATGTGGAAATACACCAACATGGAGAGAAAAACCCAAAACAATCACTGCCAGAGCTTCTCCCTATCGGACTGATCAGATCACAGGCTTGGTTTGATCTGAATGGATCATATCTGATCAATACTTTAACTCAATCCTTCCAGCTCTGGCAGAATAATAATCTGTCACATCAACCAGAACCTGATGTGACATCTAGAAGGTATTTCTAATCCTCAGGAATGTGGAGCGTCTTGTTGCTTTGGGTGGAGTCGTATCAGAACAACACCGCCCTGTCAGGACGCGGTGCTGCAGAAGCGGAGCAGCTTCGGTTGGAAATGCAGCTTCCTCTGCACTGGCAGTGCTGGCGGAAGGAAGATGAGTTTCATCTTTTCTCAGATTATGTGTCTCATTCAATGCTGTCATATCAAGATGACAGATTCAACAAATATGTGAAACAGTTACGTTCTGCAGCTTTAAGGAGGAGAGGTTAAATAAGTATTTTAGATAGAATCTGTGTCTCTAACAGACTCCACATTAGAGACATGATAAATAATGAAACATGTTTCTCTCTCTGACATACCGACGGACGTGGGCATCTCGCCCCACTGCAGCACCACGTCTTTGGTGATCCGGCCGTAGGTGTTGACGTAGACGCCCTCGTCCTCGTAGCACAGCAGCATCTCCATGCCGTCCGTCTTGGGCAGGACCACGATGGCGTGCGGGGTCACCTGACCCTGGATCTGTGGGGCGGCAGAGACGGGATGACAGGGTGAGGAGGAGAGAGAGGCGGGACGCCAAAGAAACGGACACAGCATGACTCAGCCAGGGTTAGAGGAGGACGCTGACTCAACTGGCCGTACTGTCTCATTATGGTCTTGCTGACGCCGTTTTTGACTTAATGAAGTTGCAGGACTGTGCAAAAGTCTTGAGTCCAGCAGATGAGCAATGGCTCCGTCTTCAGATGTTTCCTGTTTTTTTTGTCCTTAATCCGTAAAATATGCATCACTCCTAAGTTGTAGGCCAAATTTTCACAGAGTAACTTAATAATAATCATCGTGTCGGAGCTAAAATAACAAATCTAACTTAAAATTGGCTTTTGGTTCATCTCTTCAGCTTATGAGACTTTTTTCTCATGAAAAAGGGTTTGAGGATTACCAGCCTGAAAATAGTCACAGAAAATCAACACAATCAAAATGTAAAGCAAATCTTTCTCTTACATGTGAGGGGATGTAGATGTCATAAGGGTTTCCAGAATCCACATCGATCACATGGAAACCTACTGTGGAGCCATAGATGACCTTTAACCTCTGGCCCTCCTCCACAGTTAAATCCACCAGCAGGGGGCGATGTTGCAGATCGGTGAAAGACTTGGAGGCAGAGAGGAGAGTGAGAGATTTACCTGTTACTTGGCTCACTCTTCCTTCTTCTGCAGCCCTATCTGTTTGGTTTTATTGTCTCTTTTTTGTACTAAACTTGTGAATTTTACCAAATATTTCTGTATCTTCTCATCACAAATATAAATCACTGTTTTGTTGATCCTCCCAGCTTTCTGTTATTACCTTAAAGGCCATAAATTTATGGTAAGGTTTTGGTGCCCAGGCGTAGATTTCCACTGAGTTTTTCAGAGCGATCACCAGGAATTTAATCCTCTCGTATTTCACTGCAGGAAAATATTAGACACATTAGACAAGGAGTAAATAATAAATTGGTTCTTTTCATTTTAAATATAATGAAAACTTGAGTGGGATTGTGTTTTTCCTGGGTTTCTGACAACGTACCGACTTTATAGTGCACGCAGCCCTCCAGCTCCCCCACTGTGATCCAGCCCTGCTTCTTCTCCACCTCCGGGTCGTTGTGTAATATCCTGTTCCTCAGCCAGGACAGGTAGTAAACTCGCAGCTTGTTCTTCTTCCCTGCACAGTCAGAAATTACAGGTTTAATTTCAACTTTCCTGCAGACCCACCTAAGATTTGGAAATTTAGACGTGTCTTGATGTTTTATTTATACTGTATACCAGGAGCAGTCCAGGCAAAGCCTTCAATGTGGCAACATGCAGGGTGTTTCCCAGGTAGGACTGATGAGGGCAAGTTAAGACCTGATGAATTCACCAGTTAGTCTCTAAAGCAGTCGATAAAAACATCTGACTGCTGTAGTCCTTTAAAGGGGACCTACAGTAAAACATCCAGATTTCTCTCAGATGCGTCTAAAAGCCCAAGCGCTTAAAATAAAACACCCAGAAGTTTTTTAGCAATAATTTAATGTTTTTTAGTGTCTGGAAAACGAGCCGTTTCAAAAACCTTTCTAATGTAACAGATCAGCAGTCACATGTAGCAACCCCAGCCGAACCACCCCGTTATCTAGGAACCCAATTGGATCTCCAGCGCGTTCGGTCAGCTGGTGTTACCGCTGTACAATGGCTGCTGGAAAAGACAAGTGTTTGTTTTTGACTTGCCATTCAGAATCCATGTTCTGCTTTCTTGTTGGCTGTGGAGGAGGCTCCACTAATGCTTTTCAAAGATGCATTGTTGTATAGCTGTGCATTTGTTTGCAGCCATTTTCAAGTGCAACTTTAAATGTTGCACATGAAACATTTAGCCGCTGCCTTATGTGGCCAGCAGCAGCTAATGTGGATTTAAAGTGACAAGACGTCCTAAAACAGCTTGAAATGGGCAGAACTGACCAGACTGAAACCTCAGCCAAGAATAAATTGTTCTGTATCGGCCACAGACCTATCACAACCTATTCAAGGAAGCATAATGTGTCACCTTTAAAGAATAAAATAAATACATTTAATATTAAAGTTCCAGATAAATGATTTAAGGACATTAGGCATCAAACGTCAGGTTAACCTGAGATGGTGACCAGGACGTTGAGTCCCTCCAGGACGTCCATCTGCTGGAAGCGTCTTCTGTTAATCAGGTTGTAAACTTTTCCCTGGCCACTTCGGTCCAGCAGCATCAGGCCGTTTTCTGTCCCCACCAGCAGATTCACTCCTGCAGAAAAATCTTTTTATTTCCTGCAGAAACATGTCGGTCCCCGCGCGGCGACCGCCGGCGTCTCACCCCACAGAGCAGCGCAGAGGATCTCAGAGTTGAAGCGCTTCTTGTATTTTCTGATCTCGGGCGTGTCGCTGTGCGGCCGGATGTTGGTCGGGTTCACGTTGACCACCGAGATCTTCCGGGCCTCGTTGAGCCTCGCCTGCTCCTGCTCCTGCTTCAGCAGCTCGTCAGCAAACAACGCTGCACAAAACACTGAAATTAACCTGATGAAAACAAACCTGCTTCATACACACATCTACATTTTTAGCCATTTTAAAATGTATATATTTATTTATATAAAAACAATGATGCCTTTTAGCCCACTTAGGTTGGCTTGTGTATGTTTTTAAGGCTATATTGTAAAATGCTAATTTTCTGTAATCAGAACTGTGATTTATAATAATAATAATAATAATAATAATAATAATAATAATAATAAAATAACAATAATAATAATAATAATAATAAATAATAATAATAATAATAAAAATAACAATAATAATAATAATAATAATAATATCAGCAGATGTTGGGTTGCGGTCTAAGAGAAAAATTCAAATGATTGATTTTTTTGGTAATCTTTCAGTTGAATCTGTATTCAAGTTTTCTTTATTGACTGTTAATTCTAGTTTTGGTTTCTTTTGCTGTATTTACTGTCTGCTTTTTAAAAATAACTGCAGATGGCAGAAGGTAAACATCGCCACGTTGGAAAAGTGAGAAATGTTTAGTTCCTGTCCATGAAGGAGTCGATGACGAATCCGATGAGCTGAATCGTACCTGCGGCAGAGTTTTTCTCATCGTCTTCGGTCGGCGAGGTCCCGTACACCCGGGGGTCGACGAAGGGGGTGAAGGACGCCTTGGAGCCGCCGCTGCCTCCCATCCCGTACTGCAGGCACAGAAACACAGCAGACACTCAGAGTAGGACTCAAAATAAAGGAAACATGCGATTAATTAAAAGCTATGCTAAGTTGTTTCCTTTATTTTGTCAGAAAAATAGTGGGAACTTCCAGGTTCAGAGGCTGGAAAACTGAAAGATGGAGGAAAAGAAGGAGAGAAGATGAGGTATAATTAAACCTTTTGTGACCAAAATAAACTTTTGCTAAAGATTTTTCCTCTAGAATAAGTTAAGTCATGCAAATGTCTACTTAAATGTTGCCATAGAGTAAACATTTAAAGTAACTTGAAGGTGGGATGAAATATAATCCCAGAAACAGGACCAACTCCCCAGTGGCACAGCAGCGCCCTCTAGTGGTACAGAGAGGAAATGCTGCGAGGTAAAGCTGTGCACACTCCTCCTGTTCTGGGGGTAAGACCACCAGGTTTGGGGTGTGTTTGGTTGGAGGCTGGGTGGACCTTCATGAACTGGTCCAACTCATAGTTTCACTTAAAACATGGAGAAAATGTCACAAGTGAAATAATCTGGAACCAGATTTAAACAAGATCCTGTTTACTGAGATCATAAACGTTTGGTAGGATTCTGTTTTTGCAGTTAGAGATCCTTAATCCAACATTAAAATATGTTGGATTTAAACACCAACGAGGTTTTATTCTGGTTTTTGCTTGTTGTCTTCTGTCTCCATTTGTTAGTTTTAGTTTATGATGATGGAAATCCTCCTTATAACCAGAACTGATCTGATGCTGTAAGGTAACGTCCCACCCGCTTCAGACGCTGCGTGTTTGTTGGAGGGGTCGGTGGTCAGGTGATGGTGTGGGTCAAAGGTCAAAGGGCGAGGTCTGGACAGGGTGACGGAGGTTCGTCATAAGGGCCGGATTCTGCTCCACCTACTTGGACCAAAGAGGCGCGGCCCAGAGGAGAGGCGCTTTGTTGCACCAGATCTGGGAGGTTGCTGTTTCCAAGGAACGGATTAGCGCTGCCGTGCTGACTGTTGCCGGGGGCGGAGCTCCGCCTCCGTCCCCGTAACCTCTGGAAGGAGAGAAGAGAAAGGGGGCGTGGCCCTGAGCGGCGAGGCCCTGAGCGGCGAGGCCCTGAGCGGCCAGGCCCTGAGCGGCGAGGCCCTGAGCGGCGTGGCCCTGAGCGGCGAGGCCCTGAGCGGCCAGGCCCTGAGCGGCGAGGCCCTGAGCGGCGAGGCCCTGAGCGGCCAGGCCCTGAGCGGCGAGGCCCTGAGCGGCCAGGCCCTGAGCGGCCAGGCCCTGAGCGGCGAGGCCCTGAGCGGCCAGGCCCTGAGCGGCAGGCCCTGAGCGCGAGGCCCTGATGCAGGCCAGGATTGAACGGCGGTGGCGTTCACTCAGGAGAAACATAATCTCCATCAGACGCTGCAGTTTGGGTCCAGATAAAACTAGTAACGTCTGAAGTGAAACCAATTAAAAGTTTTGGAAAAAGCTTCAAATATCAACAGTCAGGATTTAACTGAATGTTAAACTAATGTTTAATTTCTTGGATCCACAAGTTTCTGCCGATTCACTAAACCAAATTTAAGACTTTTCAAGACCAAAATGAGTGAGATTTAATGCCTGTGTCATAACAGAAAGAAATAAACAACTATTGTTGAAGAAATGGTTCTCCTTTTGAGATTAACGACATTCTTACTTTAGCTGAAGATATAAATTACATTTCTTTTTAATCTTTTTCCCTATTTGCTGCAGAAATAACCAAAAACATTGGGTCATGCTAAACTCCCACCTGCAGGTGGCAGTATTTCTTCGACTACACTGCTGACTCAGCCGGCTTGATGTCAGCTGATAGTCTGTGAGCGATGTGGAGAAAAGTCATTTCCTGATGTGCATCAAATATTGCAATATTTCTAAATCAGTTTCACAAAATCAGTGAATTTAACTACAAAAAAATCCAAAAAAAACAAAGCAAAATCCTGGGGAATCAATCAATGTCAAAATGCGTTAATATTATTACAAACTTTAAGACCTGTGATTAATGTTTTTAAGGCCAAATTACCTTTAATTATTGAATTCAGGACCTTTTAAGGACTTAATTTTAGTTTAATTAATTTAAGACTTTTTATGGATGCACAGCCATCATGATGTTCATCATGGCGCTCATGGCGCTGCACTAATGGCCCGAACCCAGACAGGAGCCAGAACATCTTGGCCGGGTCGGAGTTCAACCTGCTGCGACTGACCTCCCGCATCATGAGCGTGTTGTCCTGCGTGCTGTACGTCGCCGTCGGTGGGGTCATTATGGCCTCCCATCACGCCGAAGGACTCGTTGGTGCTCTGACTCGCCGGAGGCCTGAAGGTCAAAAGGTTAAACTCCAGTTTGAGCTCCGTTCAGTTGGTGCGCCCTCTTCAGGAGATCCAGTGTTACTCACATAATCCGCGGTATGTCGCTAACGGCCACCGATCCATCATTAGCCCCGCCCTCTCCCTCCTCATCCTCGCTGCTGTGCGACTCCTCGCTGGATGAAGAGTAGTCCGTGACCTTGACCGGCGGGCGGCTGGTCTCCTCTCCCTGCCGCAGCTCTCTCAGCTCTTTGGCCAGAGCCGTCAGGTCCTGCCGGACGAACAACCGACTGTTACTGAGGCCGGAGTTTCTGTCTGCAGGTACAAACAGCAACTGAACTATTAGTAATAAAATATCATCATCATGGAAAAACCCTGAGAGGACAGCAGGTCGACCTGAATGTTAGTTTCATAGAAGCCGGAAGCTTTGAGCTGATTTCATACTTTAAATCCAAACAACCTGATTAATGAGCAGAGAGAAGAGTTCTAAGTGAAAAAGTGTTTTTCCAATAATCACATTTATCATTTATTTATTCAATTGCACTTCACACATTTTAAGAGAATGTAATGTGAAAAATAAAAAACCTCAAAGGAATTTAATTAATGCCTGAACTTTTTGCTGCATTTATAAAATGTACAAGTTGCATTTGCTACTTTCCCAAACTTACACATGACTTTCTGGAGTTCACAACTCATGTTTTAGAGTTTGCAGGTTGATTTGTACGTTCCTGGACAGTGACTGATAAATCCTAAAAAATCACATTATTTAGGAATGAAAAATAAATACCTTATATGTCCTGTGTAGCTTTTAGAAAGTAAATTCTGCCTGTTCCACAAGGTCAATTTGTCAGTGCAAATTGACCTTTAAACTCTTAAACTTTGAAAAAGAACGTTTGGATTCCTGGCAGGTTTAAATTAAGATTTAAACTCCAAAATTCCCATGAAGTTCCAGGACAGCAACCTATTAGTTCCTGAAAATGTTTGCTTTTAAATAAAAGATTCCTGAAAGTTCCCGATCATTAACCTTTGCAGTCTGAGCAAGTTCTGCAGGTGATTCCCAGGAAAACAATCTGCAAATTAGCCTGAATTATCATTCAGGTAAGTCGAAGAAAGTAACATTTAACCTCTAAGTTCTGAGAATTTAACTCTGAGGAAACAACAATGAACACTGGAAATTTACTGCTAAGTTTAAGAAAGTAGCCTGTGTTTTAGGTTCAGAAAAGTAACCAATTCGTTCCAAATAAATTCCTGAAAATTCTCCTTTAAAATCCATAAAAAACTATTTTAAGTTCTGGAAAGAAACATTTAGTGTTGTAACAATCCAGCAGGCAAAAAGGACGGAGCATCACAGGCCTGGAGGCGCCATGCAGGTTGTCAGTCCGTCTAAATGTTCGGATTCTCTGTCACGACGGACGGGGCAGCAAGCAGGAGGAGAGAACATGACGGGAGTCGAACTACAGACCATGCCTCGCTCTTACAGCTCAGAGAACTTCAAACCCACATTTCACATCCAGCAGCCACAGAGAAATAAACTGAGATGCAACGACTGGATCACAGTGTGATGCATCTGTTGCCATGTTGCAGCAGGATTTAGAAATAAATCAGAAGATTTCTCCTAATAAAACAGCAGAAATTTAAATATTATTTACCTGAATATACTGAAAATGTCCTAAAATATGGGATAAAACGTAAACAGTAAACATGTTTACAAATTAATATACTCTGTGTAAAAAAATGAATCAGGCAGGTAAAAAATGTAAGGAAGCAAATTAAATATTTTACTATATTTTAACATTCAGTTTATTTTATTCAAAAAATGTAAACCATAAAAAAATCAAGAAATATTAAAATTGATGCAATAAAATATAATATTTGTGATAAAATTATTATTTCACTAAAATATTTAATCCTTTTATTCTTTATTAGAATAAAATTGAGGTTAAGGTAAGTTTAACAGCTTATTCTGAATAAATTAAGATTTAAAATAATTGTCAATAATAATTGATTATGGATTTAAGTGTCGTAATTTTTACATATTATTTCTGTAAGAAAAAAAATCAAAAATATAAAATTAATATAAAAAACTCTTAATTAAAATGTCAGATTTTCCTAAACTAATTAATAAATTAATGTAAAAGTAACTCAATAAAATAGACCATATGTTCTGTAATTAAGTTAATAAAAAGTAAAATAAATTGGACTTTAATGAATTTTGTTTTTATCTAAATAAAATAAATATTAAATAAACTGATTATTCTTTTTAATTAAAGAAAAACAGAGAAATTCAGGCTATTTAATTTTTTTCAGATTATTAAGTTATTATTGTGGTTTTAATAGAAATCCTTCCTGCAGCAACATGGCGGCGGTTCTGACGCATCACAGCATAAAAACAGAAGCAACCAGAGAAAAATCCACTCTAAAGTATCACAGCAGGGAAGCTG